GGTGGACATGAAGTAGGCATTTTTGTACCTGCTGCCCCTTCAAAACGATACCAGCCATTAAGCCCTTTGTCACAAATCGTGATTTCATTACCGGATGTTATTCTTCTGTCTCCCTCCGTCAAACTTTGATAGTTTTGGCATTCTAAAAGGAACAGAAAAGATAGCAATGAGTTAAATTTAAACTAAATGAAATAAAAAACAAGAGGAATAACAAGAAGATTCGAGATGAAATACAGGTGGATATGTTCTCAATATTCGATCGACAAACTGTTATCTAACGTATTCTTCTACATTATTTCATGAGGTAATATTCTTAGCGATGTTTATTCCTGGAAAATAAACAACATAACACGTGCATTATCCAGCAATCGTGACTGTAAAAGCTTGGCCAGTACTTTATTTATTTCAAGGCGAATCATTCATACCAAACTCTTTCACCGCAAAGACACCAACTTTTAATAATAATTTGAATATATCAACAAAGTTGAAATGGTAAATTGGCTACCGTTACGATTATAAAAGCTGACGTTTCGACCGTTAGCCCTTCGTCGGAGCGAATAGAGGAATTATGGGTGGTGTGTGCTTTTAAAGGCAGAAAATGGAGCTACGTGATTGGTGGGAACATGGCAACGAGAAAAAACTTTGACGAGAAAAAACTTCTCATACGTTTTCTTTCCCTTGATTTTCTCTTCATTGCTACAAACTCTTTTTTCTTTAATATTAAAGTAGGAGATATCTTTATCGTAGCCTATATTATAACTCAGGCTTCGCTTTATTTCGACTCGTTTGTATTAAAAATCCCCCGGCATAGACAGAAAAAATTGTATTTAACGCTAGCTAGCTGCTAGTTAGTACTTTTCTGCCGGAGACAGAAACAAGAAGAGGACTCAGTTTTTCTGTCTACCTGATGGAAGATTACTGCAAGATCTTCCGTTTCCTACGTAAGGAAGGTTACAGGAACAACTAAAGGATCCTACGGTGTTTGTACATGAAGCTGAAACGTGGCAGCCGTGTACACCGCTGGCGCATTCATCGATATCTGTTGATATAAATTGGGTTGATACACATAAAACATAGCAGAGGAACATAAGCGATATGTTGAAATGGTAAAATGGTCTTGCTTGACGAAAGACCACACGACCCAGTTTGATTTGCAATTGAGCATATCGGGTGACGCTACCTCCTATGAAAGACGTAAGTTAGTTATTTTTCTGTCTTGCTACCTTTGCAAGTTTGTCCATCTCCAGAAAAACCAGTTTTGCAAGAACAACGATAAGATCCTGGTGTGTTTTGACAGTCGGCATTCTCGTCACAAACACGAATGGTAGCTTTACATTCGTCAGCATCTATCGATAAACAGTACGAGACTTATGTCGGAAAATCCATTGATTCTAAAAGACAGTCACAGGCAACTTATTATGCTGGCTCTCATAGTTCTACCGAGAGGAAATGGCAAACGAACGGGCAGGACTTAATAGAAATCTATTTTAATCACTCTCTTTTTCTTTAACTTCCAAGCAGTTATTTTGCAACCGAATATCAATGGCTTTTAAGTCCTAATTTAGCTTTTCTTATTTTACTGCCCTGCTCTGCGTTGTTGTTGTTGTTGTTGTTGTTGTTGTTTTCTTGATGTGATCCCTAAGGGAACAGTCACTAGTTATCGACTGGGGAGAAGGGAGGGGGAGAGAGGGTTCGAAGAATTTATTTGGGTTTTGTCACCATCAAAGTTCAGTGGTAGTCCAATATATATCTCTCACTAGCCATCAATTTTCTTTTGCCCCCTCCCCCCTCTTTACAGTCTGTTAGAGACGACTGATCCTCTCTTCCAAAAAAATCCTCTGACTTACATCCCCGCCATCTCCCTCCCCCCCTTAAGCGGTATTTTGTCCCACTCCCCCTTAAGCGGTATTTTCTCCCACTCCCCCTTAAGCGGTATTTTGTCCCACTCCCCCTTAAGCGGTAGGTAATAACTGTTCGCTTAATATTATTATCTGTAACTATGTGTATAACAAATATAAATAACAAATATCTGTGCAAATCGAAAATGTAAATAATATCTACAATTATTTATGATGGATTTGTTAAGAATTTCATTGAACAGTAACAAACTCTATATTACATTGTCACTTGCTTTAGATGTACCCTACTAGGATGATAAACGGCCAATTTTATTTTATTAGAGACCGAAAAAACAAGAAAATAAAGAGTATTGATACCTTCTGTTTCCATATCACAAGGAATAAGAACTGTTTCTCCCTTTATAACGGAATCAAACCAGTATTCTCCACTGGTCGCTTTTCCATCTTCACTGGCTTTTATCTCCTTGCATGTTTCCGCTGGAAATTCAGGAATAGTACCTGGAATAACTGACGAAGAAAAACAGTTTTTGAAATGAAACTATCGATATTGCTGTTGATCTTATTTTCAAGCATGACCCTAAATTTTCGATAAAAAAATCCGACCTTAAGAAACTGTTTTCATTCGCTACAGCTGAGACTAATTTTCTTTTTAATAGAAAATTTTATGATCAAGTTGATGGGGTAGCGATGGGTTCTCCGTTAGCACCCATCCTAGCTAATCTTTTTCTTGGTTTCCACGAGGAAACATGGCTCAATAATTTTAACCATTCGACTCGCCTTCTACTTTATAGGCGTTATGTTGACGACACCTTTTGTGTCTTCCACAATGAACAGGATGCGATGTCATTTTTTCATTACATTAATTCACGGCACCCCAACATAAAATTCACTTTCCAAAAAGAGCATGATAGTAAACTCTCCTTTCTTGATATATTTATCGACAACTCTTCGAATAATTGTGTTTTTCAGTTCTTCTTAAGAAGCCTACTGACTGGTCTCCTAACAAATTTCTTCAGCTTTATTCCATCATGCTACAAAATTGGCCTTATCCGAACTCTTATTGACCGTATCTACAAAATCAACAACACCTCTTCTGGCCTTCAAAACGATCTTAAGAAGCTTTCCGACACTTTAAAACGTAATTCTTTTCCTTCGCATATTATTGAAAGAACTTACAAGCAGTATCTTGACGGGTCCTCCTCTCAAAATAGCCGGAACATTGATGACAATAATACACGTTACTTTAAACTCCCTTTTGTCGGCTATTATTCTAAAATAGCGAACCTTAAACTCCGACAACTCACTAAGTGCTTTTGTAAATCGGACCTAAATATCAAACTAGTTTTCACTTCTTTCAAAATTAAAAACATTTTCAGTGTTAAAGATCGTACTCCTAATGCTCTAAAATCCATGGTAGTTTATCAATTTTCTTGTGCGGGATGTAATTTCCGTTATATTGCCGAAACTAGTCGCCACTTTTCTACTAGGATAAAGGAGCACACGGAAAGCGTTAAAAAGTCGCATATTTTTAAGCATTTTAACACATCTCCTTCTTGTAAGAACAAATACTCCCTTTCTTGCTTTAGTATTCTGGATTCTGCTAACAACCCAATCAATTTAAAACTCAAAGAAGCTTTTATATAAATAAGATCAAACCTGAACTTACCAAACAATTACAGCATTATAACACTTTTCTAGCATTTTAGTTCACACCTTTAATTTCATGTTTGTTGTCAAGCTGTAATTAGTACCCGCTTTTGTATTACATCATACTGTAAATATTTTATTCACCTACTTGTCTGTTATATAATTACTCACGTTCAGTTACTCATTGATTGAAAATGGCATAAGCATGCCGAAACATGTCTCTTAAAAAAAGTTGTATATTTCTTACAATATTTATCCTACATGCTACTACTACGTAGATTGAAAACATATGGAGACAGAGCTTTCTCTATTGCAGGACCTAAATTGTGGAACGATTTACCTCTAGAGATTAGGAAATGTGCTTCAGTGGCAACTTTTAAGCAATCCCTTAAAACTTTTTTATTTAAGTTAGCATATAGGTTATGAGATTCGTTTTGTTTTGAGATGTTTTTGATTTATATAGTAGATAACTTAGGCTATATTTGAATTATATTGTATATTGTAGATATTTTATATTATATATTTTTATATCTTATATTGTAATTAGGTAGCGCTTTGGACAATTATTGGATTTTAGCGCTATATAAATAAAATTATTATTATTATTATTATTACTTGTTCGGACGTGGTTGAATCAACCTGCGTGTGCGAATTTTCTCTCAAACGCCGACGTGAAATTAGCAAAAACAGGTCCTGGCATCAGCAAATGATGTTTTGCATATATTTGTTTGAATATTTGAGTAAACATCTACCCAATTAATTAAGTGGATATTAGTTTCAGAGTCTGCGCTAAGAAAGAGATATTGAAAAATATCGTTTCATCAAGAATTATATCCTGTAGCCGCATACCTCTTAGGATCATGGCCGCCATCTGATACTCAGAATGATTTGTATCAATTACTGGTATATAATTCTATCGAGTGGCTCATTGACTGATGATACTAAGGTCAGTTTTCTTTCCAAAAAAAAGATTTGTCCCTACCAATTGGCTACAAAATGCATTTTACAAATTCAATTCACCATCGAAATAAAACTAAAAATATAAAACATTCATGTTAGACCATTTTACATGTTAGAGCCACGAATTATTAAGAAATCTTAACAGCAAAGTGTTTTTTTATAACTTAAAGAGTTGAATTTCTTTGCATCCACAGTATAGAATTCAATTTAGTACGAAATGTGCTTTTTCGACTCAAATAGATTTTGTATTATTGAACATGACTTTTTTTCACTTATTTTTTTATCTTGGAAATTTTTTTTTATTTTATTCAGTTTATTTCCTGATGCGAACGTACACGTTGCAGTTGTAGAAGAGGATGGCAGGTACATAACACATTTGCGATGTACTACACCCTTTGCTATTCATTACGAGAAGATACGCATTCATTCGCGATAAAAGGTGAACAATTGTATGAAAATACAATCATTAGAGACAACCTTCATTTGCGCGTAGACAAGATTCAATAACGATTTTTGCCTTTTAATCAGCATTCAATAGAAATTATGGGCATTCTTATGCGTCATGAGTCAAAGAAAAGAGAAAAAGATACTTTCATTTGTGCTAACGTTCAAGTCATTTACACCATCTTGAAAGTCAATAGAGACAATACATAAACAATATAGTGCATGAACCATTCATTAACATTCTTATCACACTGTTTCCAATTCAATAGCATTACTGGACGGCATTAGTATGAATAAGCTAGATAATTATCAATGCGCTTGTACAAACAATTCAGTGTTTTTCATATTCAATATACAAGTAGCGATTTTCAAATGAACACCGATTTTGCCTGAATTTACATTCAGTAGCGTTCGTCCGGTTAATTCGCTTGGAAGAAACCGAATACTACTCCAAAGCAGATAGAGAATCGGGAGAGGATTTGAGGACGAGGACGAAGATTATGTTGTGGTCGCGGACTCGCTCGGAGTGAACCGATCAACGGCAAGAGGCATTGTGGCGCGCTACAGCAGAGAGGGCAGGATCCAGGAGAGCTCACGAGGAGGTAGAAACAAGGTGCTGGTGGATGATAACACGAGAGACTGCCTAGAGGAAATCATCAACGAAAACTGTTTACTCACACCTGGTCGGATAAACTACCACTCAAACCCGAGATCCATGAGCGCACCGTGAAACTTGCGAGGCCCCTTCCTGCTGACTGAAACAGACGTGATATGCTGAACAAGCGAGACGATTACGCCACTTGATTCAGGAACCATGCCGTAATGCGCCACTGTGTGTTTGTCGTCGAATGCAGCTACAGCATCTGGACGGCGAGAAGGCACGGTAGAGCACAGCTGGGAGAGAGGGCGTACCGTCAAGTGNAGTTGATGGGGTAGCGATGGGTTCTCCGTTAGCACCCATCCTAGCTAATCTTTTTCTTGGTTTCCACGAGGAAACATGGCTCAATAATTTTAACCATTCGACTCGCCTTCTACTTTATAGGCGTTATGTTGACGACACCTTTTGTGTCTTCCACAATGAACAGGATGCGATGTCATTTTTTCATTACATTAATTCACGGCACCCCAACATAAAATTCACTTTCCAAAAAGAGCATGATAGTAAACTCTCCTTTCTTGATATATTTATCGACAACTCTTCGAATAATTGTGTTTTTCAGTTCTTCTTAAGAAGCCTACTGACTGGTCTCCTAACAAATTTCTTCAGCTTTATTCCATCATGCTACAAAATTGGCCTTATCCGAACTCTTATTGACCGTATCTACAAAATCAACAACACCTCTTCTGGCCTTCAAAACGATCTTAAGAAGCTTTCCGACACTTTAAAACGTAATTCTTTTCCTTCGCATATTATTGAAAGAACTTACAAGCAGTATCTTGACGGGTCCTCCTCTCAAAATAGCCGGAACATTGATGACAATAATACACGTTACTTTAAACTCCCTTTTGTCGGCTATTATTCTAAAATAGCGAACCTTAAACTCCGACAACTCACTAAGTGCTTTTGTAAATCGGACCTAAATATCAAACTAGTTTTCACTTCTTTCAAAATTAAAAACATTTTCAGTGTTAAAGATCGTACTCCTAATGCTCTAAAATCCATGGTAGTTTATCAATTTTCTTGTGCGGGATGTAATTTCCGTTATATTGCCGAAACTAGTCGCCACTTTTCTACTAGGATAAAGGAGCACACGGAAAGCGTTAAAAAGTCGCATATTTTTAAGCATTTTAACACATCTCCTTCTTGTAAGAACAAATACTCCCTTTCTTGCTTTAGTATTCTGGATTCTGCTAACAACCCAATCAATTTAAAACTCAAAGAAGCTTTTATATAAATAAGATCAAACCTGAACTTACCAAACAATTACAGCATTATAACACTTTTCTAGCATTTTAGTTCACACCTTTAATTTCATGTTTGTTGTCAAGCTGTAATTAGTACCCGCTTTTGTATTACATCATACTGTAAATATTTTATTCACCTACTTGTCTGTTATATAATTACTCACGTTCAGTTACTCATTGATTGAAAATGGCATAAGCATGCCGAAACATGTCTCTTAAAAAAAGTTGTATATTTCTTACAATATTTATCCTACATGCTACTACTACGACCTTATGGAAAAAAACAGTTTCATCAGGATACAATTATCATTGCGCAGTCATTCCCTAACAATAAAGTAACTGTGCTTCCCGATTGAGAAAGAAAAATATTGCGATCAGTAGTAAAAGCAACTCAAGAAAGGATACTGGATTCTCCATATACTAATAGCAAAGGAACAAGAATAGCTTTCTATCTTCGATATCGGTTTAGACACATAAAAGGTTCTTTGGCTTTGAGTAATTTCATAATTTTTTTTATTTATGGTACTTTACCCATTACCACTGAAAAGCTATCATGGTTCAGGAGTGTTAAACTTCAGTGCTTAGGCCTTTCGTTCAATAAAACTCACCTCTTTTCTTAATACTCTTGACATAATATCTTTCAGAATTTGGCACAAAGTTCTCTGGTCTGGCCTCCTTTGTCCGATTGTTCAGTTCACACAGTTCCTTTGAAATGACGTAGTTGAAGCTGTGACATCGGAAATCATTGTGGCATGCCTGATTACATTTAACGGCAATCGATGCTTTCATAGTTGTGAACGTGTGTCTTTGAAGCATCATACCGAAGATGGCTTGTTGACCCACCTCGCATTGTTGCGCGAAAACTCTCCACAAGTATAACAGTGTAACTAAAGTGCAGTACCGCATCGTCATTACTACTGGCTCGTCCTTTTCTGCAAGAGAAATTTGGAATAGTAATCAAAGACACACACACACACACACGCACACACACGTTATATGTAACAGATGAACTGTAGGGGGACTGGACACGAACTGGTCGAGCGGAGTCTCAGCGATAGAACCTTGCATGTTCGGTTGAACTTTTAAACAGTGTGATGTGCGATAACTGGCGACGGTTATGCTACCCTTTTAAGCGGGATTAACGCACAACTTAAGGTGGCTTACCGCTGTTACATATATGTTATTCACTTGTTCAACCTTTATGATCGACCGCGACTCACGCTAACCTCTACGCGGTAAATACTGAAGAAAAATGAAGATCAAACTCCTTCATCCCTCTATGGGGGAAATATTGATACATTGTTGAGATTCTCATTTTAGTATTTTCTGGAAAGTTCTTATTTTTAAAATGTAAACAACGACGATAAATGTGTAAATAAACGGGATTCGTTATTTTTTGCTTCTGAACGGCCTATTTTCGCACTTTTTTTGAATAAAGATATATTTCTAGTTTTTTTCCTGGCATTTTATTAAATTTTTTGGTCAAGAGAATAGGTAATAGAGTTTGTATTCTCATGAGTTTATATTTTCTTGCTTTGAATTGGTAGCACGCAATTGATTGGTAATCCCGACAAATCTACATATTGACATCTTAAATGTTTATTTCTGGGAAAAACCATAGGAGTAAAGCTATCAATAAATTTCCAGTGTAAATCGAACAAAAAAACCAAATCAGACGGGATTGTATATTGTAAATGCGATGGAAGCTGAAGATGTCATAAACGAAACTTGCCGCGAAATATTTTCTTCAATTGACGTAACTTATAGGATGTGTTCGGTTAGGCTGTTCTCCACAGCCCATCGTATAACATTCCAAAAAGGTTCATTCATCAAAAATAAGCACCTTTCATGCGCTTTTCTTCGCACCATAAGTATTGCAGGTTTCACCGGTAAGTAATTTTGACTTGTAGAGCCTCAAAACCACTTTAAGGTTACTTCCCACCTTTGTGGGTGTCCTTCGGGAAAAAAATTCGTACGCGCGCTAAATTCATGAAAATAATACGTAGGGCGAAGGAAGTTTGCAAACATACCAACTTTTTAAAACATTTTCGAAACTTTTGGAGACTCTACAACAAAAAGCATCGAGGCTGATAGTTTCGAAAGAAACTGTTTGGGGCTGCGTCGGTGGGGGTAACGAAATAATTTGGATATATCAACAAAGTTGAAATGGTAAATTGGCCACCGTAACGATTACAAAAGCTGACGTTTCGAGCGTTAGCCCTTCGTCGGAGCCAATAGAGGAATTGTGGGTTGTGTGTGCAGAAAATGCAGAAAATGGAAAATGCAGTAAAGGCAGAAAATGGAGCTACGTTATTAGGAAAAAAGGATCGAGGCTGCGGAGGAAACGCGGGTAACTTTGTAATGACAAAAGGATTAAAAAAAAGTCTACAATTTTATTTCCCTTATGGCTTTGAGTGTCAGGACCTTAAATTTTGGAAACTTGGAAGGTTCCCTGAAATACAAATATCGTTGAGAAGGATTCAATGTTTGAACAGTGCGAGAACATGATTCACCAATCAAATCTGCAGCGAGATGTAAGCCTTAAGCTATAATGCCTTCAAATCAAATTTTCAAAATATCTAACTTGGAACTTTATAAATCTTGTACAAACCTTGGTTTCTATCCAAGCGATGTGATAACGCTCTAGTCAGTGGAAACTGTCGATTACTTTTAGTGAATTACTTTACATAGAGGTAACTGTTTGTAATACATTTTACTAGTTTAATTTTTGCTTTGAGGCAAATTACGAAGGAAGCCATGTCGCGTACCTTAATTATTTAGTCGTACTGTCTCCTGTATTCGTAAACAATTGTTTGATTCTTTTCACTTACATTTGACAATTATCTTTTTCGTTTTTTTGAAATATCGACGGGTGTCAAGAGTTTGAAAACACAGGCAACGGGTGGCAACTCAAAATAGGCGTATTTTTTATGAGTGAGAATTATTAAAGAGAGGAACCTATACAAATCAATAACTAAGAATTCTTCAAACTCTGTTAAAAAGATATAAGAAAAAAGAAATACAAGGGCAATTTCTCCACATAATTGATGGACAGAATCCCGGTGACTTTATAGTGTAAAGTATACTTTTCAAGTCAAGTCCAATTATCTTGAATATCACATAACAGACGCTAGATCCGCTATTATGTGGGCGCTTTCATAGACATTCCCAATTCAGTATTGCTTACCTAAATAATTGCGCTGTTTAATTATTTAGGAAAGTACTCAGCTTTAGCTACGATAACTTTAGAAAAATTGCCTCGAATGGAAAAATTATGTCAAATTTTCGCAAGCAAATGACCGCTGCAACAAAAGCGGTTGTGTAGTTCGGATGAATTAGACATTATTCCATTTTGACTTTTAAAAAAATTCAAAACGGTCGATTGAATTTGAACGAAGCGCAAGCCCTCTTTTTATCCTCAACAGATACCGCTTTCATATAAGAAAATAACGTTAAAATAAAAATAAAAAAAAAAAAATAAGGTATGATAAGTAATATCTTTTTAGTTTAGCTTGAACTGAATTTTCTTCGAAGTAGCGTAAAACGTTGATCGGAACATCTGAATGGGTCCTAGCTCACCAGCTAAGTTCATTATGGTAGCTAACGTGAATCACAGTTTCAATTATTCAAAGTTCTCGCCTGTAAACAAAATTTGCATAATTTTCTTTCAGATTTTGTTCAACTCGAAGGCGAGCTATAAAAGGAGAGGTGCCTTAGGTACCTCTGGACCAATTGTCAATCAACCGTCCTGTGACGTAGAACTCTAAGAGTCAAGTCAGCTTGATCCATAGCTAATCCAAAGCGTTGAACAGCGGGCGGGCGCATTCCTCAAAATTGTTTTATGTCTTCATCACAATACAAGAATTTTTGAGATTTGTATTTCTTTTCTACAATGGAAAAAGTCTTAATTTGTGGCGGTAAATTTGAGATTGAAGTAGGTGGTTCGCGCATTACATCATTGCCACCATGCTGGTGGAAGTAAACAATAGATATCTCATTAGCTCCTTTTGTTCGTCTACCAGCATTTGTTCCTTTCACCATTGTTACCCCAGAGGCACCTAAGGCACCTCTCCTTTTATAGCGTGCCTTCGTGTAGGAAGGCATATCTAACAGCCCAGCTTTAATAATGCTATTGTTTCGATTNAAGTTTTATTGCATTTTTTAGATTCTCATTATGAAACGTAGAGAGCCGTAAATGGTATTTTTTAAATGCATTTGAGGTACTCCAGCAAATTCTTGTAATTTTCCCAATGTTCGCTACAACTGTCCCTTACAATTTTTCTATGATAATGTGTATAGCAAGCAAATTTCCCTTTCCAAGATTGGAGATGACAGCAGCTGTCAGCTCCAATCTTGGAATCGAGATCTCACGTATGGGAGCCAATCTTGTCTTTCCCATTACAAATGCGCAGTGAACTTGGTTGGTCACATCTTTCAAACGGAGGTATGCAACGGCTGCATATCCTTGACGGGAAGCATCCGAGAAGAGGTGCAACTGTACCTCTTTAACTTCACCAAATCCCTGAGGTTTGAAACAGCGGTATACCTGTATTTGATGCAATTTTGGGATATCATCCAGTCAGCTCTTCCATTGTTCTTTGTCGGTTTCTTCTAACGTATCATCCCAACCCAGCCTCTTTCTACTGAGTGTTTGCAACAACAACTTGGCTTTCATGGCGTATGGTGCGATGAATCCCAGTGGGTCAAAGAGGGAGTAAACAGCTGACACAATTCCTCTGCGTGTCACTGGTTTCTGACTTACTCGCTGCAACATCTTCTCCATTACTTCCCATACAAACTTGTCTTCTTCTATGTTCCATTTTAGTCCGAGAGTGCTCTCTGTCGGGAGTTGCTCGAGTTCTAAATTCACCACTGATTTTGCTCTTTCGGATTCTGGTATTTTCGCCATCACTTCTCGGTCATTACCATACCACTTCGTCAAGCGGAATCCACCTTTCTCTAGCAACGTCCGCAGCTGACTTGCTAAACTGATTACCTTCCCTGTGGTGCTTGTCGACTTCATCATGTCGTCTACATACATGTTGCGGTTCACTGTCTCTATTATTTCCTTGTCAAACTCTTCCTGATACGACTGCGCTGTCTTTCTTAGAAAGAAATTAGTGACACTTGGCGAAGATGTAGCACCAAACAAATGTTTAACTATTCGATACTCCTTCATTTCCTTTGTCAGGTCCCCATTTGGCCACCAAAGAAATCTTAAACTGTCACGGTCCTTTGGGTCCACCAAGACCTGATGAAACATTGCTTCAATATCAGCAACAATTCCAACAGAGTTCTGTCTGAAACGACTTAAGACACCCACTAATTGATTTGTCTGATCCGGGCCCTGCAGCAACTGCTGATTTAGAGATGTCTGTCCAAACTTTTCTTCTGGTCTGTCCAACTCTTCTTGAGGAACCATTTCTTCGTGTCCCTTTTCGATGTAATCATTCAGTGTCGTCCGATACTTCTCCAACAGATCTTCATCCTTCATAAGACGCCTCTTAAGAAGCAGGGCTCTTCGTTCTGCCATTATCTTGTTGTTGGGCAAATACCGTGGGTCACGTCCCCAAGGCAAGGCAAGTTGAAAGTGTCCTTTGACTTGTTCAAGGGACCCTTCCATGAACTGTAGGGCTCTATTGTCTTCAACGGATGCACAAACTTTAGTTTCTACTTCCGTGTTTTCAAAGTCTGTTTTCCATAATCTCTCCAACTCTTCATCACGTATTTCACTTTCAACTTTGCTGAACAATGACAAATTGGAATCCTTCTGACCAGCTAACTCATCGGTGAATTGTTCATTAAGGACTTGACCACTGTCGTCATTATCTGGTTCCTCGCTTAATCTCCTACCTTCGATTGGGCTAGGACATACATGTTCATCTCGCAGGACAGGAACATTGTCATAAACAACAGAACTCTCTATAGTACGAGTGAAATTTTCTGAACAGTTCGGGTCATCTTTTTGACCATGAACAGGAACAATTACAGTCCATCCTAAACTATATCTGGCCGCTACTGGTTCATCTTCTCCTCCTGCCTTGTACTCTTGATATAGGAACAAACTTGGTTTCTCCTTGAGACCAATCACCAACATAATTTCTCCAACTTCTAAGTCTTGTAATTCAATATCGCACAAGTGAGACCATCTGGTTAGATCTCCTTTCTTGATAATACAGTCGCTTGAGATTGGCATTTGTTTCACTGTTCTAACATTTGGCAACGAAACGGACACAGTTTCATCCATTGACGTCAAAAAATGTGTAGCAGTTGACTTTCCACCCTTGTGGATCCTGTCATCCCTGATAGTGTAAAGTTGAGCCTTGGACCGTTCACTCCAAGTTTCTTCGGTAAATGTTCATGACAAAGAGCTACCGTCGATCCGCTGTCTAACAACGCATATGTCCGTCTCTACCGGTGGTAGATCACTTTCTTTAACTTGAACTTTGAGAGGAACGACACTTAAGGACACTCGCTTGCCTGGCTCCGTTGCAGCAGTTACATTAACTCCATCTTTATTGCTCGTCTCAAAATTTGAACCATCGCTTGCGTTCAATCTTAGGCTCTCTCGATTAGGCTGGCTCTGGCTGGAACTAACACTATCAGGTTCAGAGGGTGGAGGGTGTAACAATGTGTTGTGCTCCTTATTGCACCCTTCCTTCTGGCATTTGAAATTTGTCTTAGGGCATATTCTTGCATAGTGGCCACCATTAATACACTTAATACAGAGGCTGTTTTCTTGAACAATCTTCATCTTGTCCGGATAAGGTAAACCTTTAAATTTACCACACCTCCAAACACCATGCTGGTTGGAACAGAGTGGACAACCTGGCCTTGCACCATTCATTCCTTGCGAGCCTTTGTGTTGAGGGCTTCGATCGTTGCGTGCACCTATGACCATTGTTGTAAACTTGTGAGGAGTTCGATTCCGACCATCTCTGCCTTTGCCTTTCTCCTTATCCCTTGATGGGCTACAATTAAGGTCTTCTCCAAACTCATTGTTCACGAGTGTTGCTCTCTGCTTCAAAAACTGAAGAAAGTCCATAAATCTGAGCCTCTGACCAGACTCGATTATCCTACCCGCACACTCGGTCCACTTGACCCTCATAAACAACGGAAGCTTCCTGTTTAGTTCTCGAAGAGTGTTTGTATGGTTTACATCAGTAACATACTCAGGTCCCATGCCCGTAAGGGTTCTTTCAGCAACTTCCAAATGCCTTGCAAATTCTAGAAGGCTTTGTCCATCTGCTTGCTTTAGAAGAGGTAAGTTCTCTAGTTTCTTGATATGTGCTTTCGCTATGATGTGAGGTTTGCCAAAGTTCTCACGCGAAGTGTTCTTTGCAACATAATAACCTTCTTCCACAGGTAGGTTCACACAGCTTTCAATTGCCTCTCGCTCCTTTCAATAACAATGTTGAATTAGGAGCTGTAGTCTCCTGGAATTGTCAGGATTATCTTTCTCTAAACAAATTTCAAAGTTATGCATGAACGAAACGTACTTCATTGGGTTCCCATCGAAACGCATGTACTGAACTTTAGGTGCAGAAACAACTTGACGTAGGGCTTGTGCAATTTCTTCTCCACTTCCTTGCCTAGGTACAATGGTACCCTGAGGTAAGTGTCCAATCGGTTGGGACAATGGCGGTTGTGCAGACCCTTGACCAAGAAATCCATCTGAGCTTGTCACTTTAACAGGATCTAGCATACGATATTCAATTGGGTGTG